CTTTACGCTAATGGACAAAACACGCGTCGCAATCGGTGGTTGTTTCGTGGTTTCGGTGTGGGTGTGGAGGATAGATCCGGAATTTGGCATGGTGAGTTTCGGGCAAAAAAGTATGGAGAAGAAACAATTTGTCGCCACCTACCTTGGCGTCGGCCGCACGCAGGAAGTCTAGCCTCCGTCTTTTGATTTGTTTTTTTGCGATTCATTATAACTATTGCCAAGGCTGGGTTTTTCGCTATTTCCAGAAACCGTGTTTACAAAGAAACCAGAGACTACACTCTGAAGTGGTAGCTTTTCTTTCTATAAACGTGGATAAGGGCGGATTTATGAAAATAATATCTATTTCATATATAATTATCAAAATAATGTTTATATAATATTAATTAAAAAATATTATCATTCGAATTGATTTATGAGAGAGTATATAAAATATTAAAAGTTTTTTTTAAAAAAAAATATGACAGTAAACACAACAACATAGAAATATTCTTTTATCATTTTATTTACGAAAAAATCATTAGTGAAAGGATAAGTTATTCATTTATATTTATTATGAAGTTTATAATTAAGTTAATATTATTAATCGCTTAAATATTAATGAATAATAATAATAATTAAAATATATTTAAATGATAAATAATATTAATGATAAAAATGACATGTATTATTATTATTATGAAAGCATTTTATCTTTCTATAAATATTAAAATTACGCATAGATTTTGGTTGTATTAAAAGTATAACGTAATACAATAATTATAGTTTTGTGTAATTATATATATATATATATATATATGAAAGTATTTTATCTTTTTAAAAATATTAAAATTGTAACATCATCAATATCGGGTTAGTGACCAAATTGTGAAATTTAAATTTCAGTAACCAGATTCAATAAATTGAAAAGTTAAAGAATTAATTGAAAGATGTTGGTGTAGGATGATTTAGCAAATAAAAAGATAAAGAAAGGGGTAAATGAGTCATTGAGTAAGGGGTAATAATTAAATAATTAAATAATAATTGTGGGAATTTTATAAACCCACCTGAATCATAATCGGAAAAAAAAAGGTTTCTAGACAATTCCTTCATCTTCTTATTCTCTCAACCGTGAAGCACTCAAGTCAAGATAAGTTGGATTTCTTTTAGCTAATCCTTAAAATTCAAGTACAGTTTTGGTTAAGGAAGACTTAGGAAACATGATGGAGATGAAAAAAGTCATAGAAACTCAAAGATTTGTCAGTTACGAAGGAATAAAGATAAGAAGTGGATAAGTGAAATTTTGAATAAAGATGTATAAATGAATTTAGAAGTTTAATTTGACTTGTCATAAGTGTGGATAAGAAGTTATAAGTGTTAGAAGTAAGTTTGGATTACATGAAAATTTTGGTATGATTCTTAGCTTTAAGAATTTGGATGAAATATCGGAGATTATAAAGTGTTTGAATGATAGAGATTAATTAACGTTGTCATAGATGAGTTTAGTAGCATAATAAGGGTTGTATGAAAATTTGGGTGAAGTGTAAATGATTTTCGGGTTTTATGGATAGGTGCATTGGTACACTATGAAAAGGTACCGATGCACTAAGACCAATTTTGAAGGTGCATCGATACACACTGGCAGGCATCGATGCATGAAAATTTTGAACTTAATTTGTGTACTGATGCACCCATAATGCATCGGTATACTCCTAAAGAAAATTAGGAATTCGACTTATTAAAATTAATTTAAGTTAATAGCATCGAAGTATAAGGTTTAGGCTTCTGATAATTATCTTGAAAATTATATTTATGTAGATACAGAGCCTAAACGAGTTCCGAAATAAGTCACAAGTAAAATTGATCGAGGGAAAGGCAATGAGACATAGGTGAGTGCATATGCATAGCATGATTATGTTAGTATATTCAGTTCTAGACTTGTGATAAGTCTAGATTTAATATTTTGATACATGATTCATTCCATATTATGAAAATGTTTGAAATGAATATGCATGAAAAGTTTATGAGCAATGTGATAAAGGTAAGGAAATTATATGTTTATGAGATATATTACGTGAATAGTGAAAGCCCATATTATGTTGATGAGAACTATAGGTATAATTGGCATGCCAAGAGTAGAGGGTCTACGCGGTCATTCGGGATAATTCTACGTGGTCCTTCGGGACATATATGTATTATTTGGGACATGTATGAGGTCTTTTGAGACACCTACTTGATATTTGGTATATGTATATGATTCTTAAGGAATTTCTATGTGGTCCGTAGGGACAAAATTTATATGGCACTTCGGTGTAATTCTACGCGGCACTTCGGTGCAATTCTACGTGGTACTTCGATGCAAATTTATACGAGCTGTGGTGACAGCATAGTGCACAACCTCACAGTACTCACATACCTCAGGTTCTCAGTATGATATCATAGGCTATTGAACTTATTAATACAAATTCATGATGGTAACTTGATCTGATTATGGGTAAGATACATGATTATGCAACTTGTATGGATTAGATATGTGACTTCATCACACTTCATTCTATTATAGTATCATCATTATATTTCATTGTTATTATTATTATGCCTCACTAAGTCTATGACTTAGCGTATAAGCGTTTTACACGTAGGTACCAAAAAGCAGAAAGACCCAATATAAGCTCAGCAGAACAACATATCTCCACTTGAAGATCAGATCAGAAGTAAATTACACAATATGTATTATTATGTGATAAATAGGTTGGCATGTAAACAAAGTCGGTAAATTAAGTATTTATGCTCTGTCGAGTTTTGTAATGTTTTAAACGTATTTATGTAAATGGTAATTGTATAGTGATGAAAGTTTAAATTTTTATGAGTTTTATATATGTTTTGCTGAAATTATTGTAGCAGTGCATCGGTACACAATTTATATTCGATGTTTTTGTGCATCGGTACACTGTAGCAGTGCATTGGTACACTATAACAATGTTCACGGTACTATTCATACATTATAGTACTATTCATACAAACGTTTTTGCCTTAAATTTATTATAATGAAACATAATTTAATAGTATATTGTTGTATTTTCTTAATATAAGTCCAAATGTTCTATTATTTTGTAAGAATATTGTTTTAAAAATTCAATGTGACATCTCAGACTCATATCTGGGTCGGGAACGGGTTGAGGAAGTTACAAAAATTACGCATAGATTTTGGTTATATTAAAAGTATAATGTAATACAATAATTCTATTTTTGTGTAACTATATATATATAATTCTTTCAGTTTTACACATATTTATGACTATTTGATGAGTTAAAATTAATGATGAGATTAATTCCTTAGTTTTTTTTCTAGTAAATATATTGTCATATTCTATTTTTAATCTCAACAATTTATTTTCACTCATCTAACTTTCCTAAGTATATATAAATATATTGATTTAATTGGGTGTAATTATACACATAAAATATAATAATTATTTGAGAATGTAATGTATAAGTACAAAATGGTATCTCATCAACAATAATTTTAATAAATTATAAAAGAGAGATTAAATTCAAACTTTATATATATTTAGGATTAGGATCCACATACACAATATAAAATTTATATATGAATTGATATATTTCACAAGGTAATTGTATGAAAAACCTAACTAATTATAAGAAATTATAATTATATAGCCATATTTAACTGATAGAATAATATTATATTGTAATAATTTATATTATAACTGATCGTATAAATTATAATTACTTAGATATATGAAATTAAATTTTGAAATAATATTAATTATAAGATATAATTATATTAATTTTTGTGATCTTATTCAGAATAAAAGAATTTAATTGAGACCTCTAATTACATATAGTTCATCGAGACCCATGAAGATATCTATTTAAACACCTAAACATAGTTACCCTAAAATAAATTTAATTTAATTATATAATGATATTCTAAATTTACTCTAAAAATAATATCTCTTTGTCTTATTAAGTTTAAGAAAATTCTAAATATTATATATCTTTTTCTTTATCTTTCTTTTTTGTCAATATTTCTTTTTTTTCTTTATTTTCTTGTTTTATATCATTATTTTATTTATTTTTAATAATTTTACCTTTATGATATATTTCTTCCTATATTTTGATATTTTTTTTCATTTTTCATTGCTTTTGTTTTTCTCTTTTTATTTGTTAGTATTAAATTTGACATTATGACGACTAATCAATATAATACATATTTGTTATCACGACGATTTTCTATATTTTGAATTATAATATTGTATTTAGATATACAGTTATATTCGTGAATAGTTTTTTCACATTGTCAGACTTTGATTTATGGTTTATCGACGATTTTTTAATAATTTTATTTTTTTATGATTCATTTTTCGATGTAATTATTTATGTTTGTATATATACTTTGTTCTAACTTGTTATGTAGGTTTTTCTAACTTTTTATTGTTGATCTTCTATGATTTTAAGTTATTAATTTTTTGTGTCAATTATTATAAGAACATTTTCTAATTATATATTTAGTTTATGAATACAAAACATTCATTTAATTTTAAATATTTTATTTTTAATAAAATTAACTGAATTATAAAAAAACTCTAAAAATCATGATTTAATATTAAAAATAAGAACAATAAATTTATATACAAATAATTTATAACACTTACGGTATTTTATTTAAAATATATATATATATATATATATATATATATATATATATTAACCTATTAAATATTATAGGCGTGACAAAAACGTAAAATAACTCAAAGTAAAATAATAAATATAAGTTTAGCTTATAGAAGAAAAGAAATGGGAGAGCATAGGACCCTACATAAACAGTTAAATTCGGCCGCCTCGTTTTGTCGTCTCTTTCGTCTCTGTCCTCCTCTGTCGATTTTTTTTTACTCAAAAAAACATTTCCTCTCTCTCTATCTATGTACTTTATTTAACATATAAATATATATCTGCTTTCTCTCTCTTTTATTTCCCGTCTTTCCCTTCTATTTTCTTGGTGGTTTCGTGTTTCAGAAAGGAAGTCTCTTTTGTTCAGAATAAAATAACACCGAAGAACGAGGAAAATCAATCAAAAGCCAAAAAGGAAAAAAAAAGAGGGGGAAGGAGCGAAACTCTAGTACAATAAAAAGGCACTCAAGAAAAAAACCAGTTAAGAGAAGAAGGGGGAAGGGCAATACACATAGGCACTCTCGCTTTACTTGCTATTATGAGGCTCTCTTCGTGAAGATTAGTTCCATTTCCTTGGTGGGTTTCCTTGTATCTTCTTCTTCCTCTTTGAGTCTGGTTTGTTCGAGCCATGGCTGGCAGTAATGAAGTCAACCTCAATGAATCCAAGGTATTTTCTTTCGTTTTCTTTTTCTCTTTTGGGTAAACAATTTAGGTCTATTCGGAAAAAGAATCAAGTGGTTTATTTTGTTTGTTTCAGCCGACCTCTGTTAATTAAGTGGGATTGTTTTTGATTTCTTCAAAAACAGTTGATGTGGGGATTTGGGGGTTACTCTGATATGTTCAAAGAATAATCTTGGTTCTTAGAAATTCGACTTTGATCGAAGATGTTGAAGTCTTGTTAATGGCCCCACCGCCTCGTTTCTTTTTTTGGTCCGTGGGGTATATTTTCTCTTTTATGCAATATGATCGGTCTTTTCTTAGTTTCCAGCTCTGTTAGAATATTATTGTTGAAGATGGAAGCTTCTAAATGCTTTGGATTTGGATTTTATGTGTTTTCTTTTGCAGAGCGTTGTTCCATTGAATACCTGGGTTCTTATTTCTAATTTCAAGCTATCATACAATCTGCAGCGCCGGCCAGATGGAACCTTTAACAGAGACTTATCGGAGTTCCTCGACCGGAAAGTACCTGCCAATATCAATCCAGTTGATGGGGTCTTCTCCTTCGATCACGTTGACCGAGCTACCGGTCTTCTTAACAGGATTTATCAGCCGTCTCTTAAAGACGAGGCTCGATGGGGCATTGTGGACCTCGAGAAGCCTTTGAGCACAACCGAGATCGTTCCTGTCATTGTCTTCTTCCATGGTGGAAGCTTTACGCATTCCTCTGCAAACAGTGCCATCTACGACACCTTTTGTCGCCGCCTTGTTAGTGTTTGTAAAGCCGCTGTGGTGTCTGTGAATTATCGCCGATCACCCGAGCATCGATACCCTTGCGCATACGATGACGGATGGGCTGCTCTCAAGTGGGTTAAATCAAGAACTTGGCTTCAAAGTGGGAAGGACTCTAAAGTGCATGTATACTTAGCTGGTGATAGCTCTGGTGGAAATATAGCTCACCATGTAGCCGTGAGAGCAGCAGAGGCAGATGTTGAGATATTAGGCAACATTCTCCTTCATCCAATGTTCGGCGGACAGATGAGAACCGAATCCGAAAAGAGATTGGATGGCAAGTACTTCGTCACACTGCACGACCGTGATTGGTATTGGAGAGCTTATCTACCCGAAGGGGAAGATCGAGACCATCCGGCTTGTAATCCGTTCGGCCCTCGCGGACGAAGGATCGGTGGACTCAAGTTCCCCAAAAGTCTCGTCGTCGTGGCCGGTTTGGATCTGATTCAAGACTGGCAATTGGCATATGTCGAAGGGCTTAAAAATTACGGCCACGAGGTGAAGCTTCTCTTCCTAGAGAAGGCGACAATCGGGTTCTACTTCTTACCCAACAACGACCACTTCTATTGCCTGATGGAAGAGATAAAAGTCTTCGTTAATTCTAACTGTTAATACCCACCTTTACCCACTTAATCTTAACCATACGTAACAAAAATGTTTTTTACCTGTTTTTAGAAAGTCATGGTGAGATCCATTGTGTGTAGTTATAAGCCTTGTTTTGGTGTTCTAAGTGGCAGCGGCGGAGAATGATCTGAGCCGCCCTTCGCCGACCTGATATAAAGAAAAGGGCGTTACCCTTGTAAGCTTCCTGCCTCAAATAACGGGAAGAGAAAAGTCTAGGGGTAATGCTTTGGTGGTTTTATTATTAATTGGTAATTCTTGAAGCCACTAATTTATTATATATCTTGTAATGTAATTGTAGGTTGGTGTTGTACTCTACTTATGTTCTAAACTAAAGATTTTGTTCTGTATTTTACTTTGTTTTCTTGTTTATGTTGTTCTTATGCTTTATTGTTTCAAGGCGGTGAAGCCAAATCGTTGAAACTTGAAACTGAAAATGTGGCATTGTATGTCTCAATATCTATAGTTTGTCTGTTAGGCGTAGGTAAGGGAAATTTGAGGATTTAAGTTTGAATATCCTTCAATGTTTTCCAACCACTTAGCTAATCATTTCCGCACTAACTCCAATAATAAATACAAGTATTTTTACCAAATGGTTATTAATTTTAATCATTTCCCCACCCTATGTAATAGATGTCAGTGAATTGAACTAGTATTTTTTATTGGTGTGGATCTAATGAACCTTTTTAAGAAACACAATGTTCAAATGATAAAGCATTTAATTAGAAATAAAGAAAAGGATTAGAGTCGGGCAAATCACAGCTGGAAAAATGTCACGAAAGTGTTCATAAAGATGGGGGGCGTGTGGCGTGCGGACCACAAGCAACCACTAAAGCTTTTGGACTATTATTTATTTTATTGTATTTGTCCGAACTCTAATGCCTCAAACCCCAACCAATCAAAATTTAAAGTTATTACAATATAAATGGTCATAAAAGTCCAAATGGTGTGTCTCTAAGCTCTTTCCACCTGTTTTTTATTGGAATTTAGCTTTTTCTTTTAAGGAGACATTTGTCTTTTTTGGGGGTTAAATTAATGATTTGAGATATTTTATATCAACACAATAAAATACAATTTTGTTAAGTATACAAATAGTCTATGACGTTGGTTTGTTAAATTTATTAATTTTTAAAGTTGTAAAATGATCTCTCGATTATAGAGCGTTACTTTGTTAAGTCTTCTAATTTTTAAAAGTTATAAAACTACTGTTCGTATGTTCTAAATTCGTTCTTTTTCGTTAAAAAATTAACAATGATATGAGTTAGATGTTAACTTATTGATTGAGACATGGTGAAATTATATTTTAAAGATATCTAATGGTACTGTCGTCTTTTTAAGAACTAATTTGATAATATAATGTTTCAAGTACTACTCGTTGACATAATATAAACGGATGGTTGATCTATAAAATACCATTTAAACAATTATAGGATCAGATTTTATCATATATTAGTCAATATGTTCACGTCTAACTCACACGATCTCCAAGTTTATAATGAAAAATGATGAGTTTGGAACATATAAATAGTCAAATGATTAATTTATAACTTTTAATAGTCGAGAGACTTAATTAAACAACATCCCATACTTAAGGGAGTATTTTATAATTTTTAATAATTAAAGGACTCAACAAATATACATCCTATAGTCAGATGACCACTTGTATACTTTACCCAATATAATTCTATATTTAAGAAATAAAATATATATGTTTTTGTTTTGGACATGAGTGAGTATTAAATGTAGTTTGTGGGAAAGAGAAATTGGGTTTGGTATTATATTCTGGAAGTACACAAATACAAAGGGACCACTTCTTGAATATATATAATAAAAAGGCTGTAGGGTTGCTTTTAAAAGGAAGGGGGGCGGGGGGAGCAGTAAGTGGTAGGAACAGCTAAGCCTTGGACAAGGACATGCACCATTCAACCTTATCGATTTATTAAACTTCATTTTCCAATAAAAAAACATTCACCCCTTTCTTTGTTTGCGTTTTTTATATGTTATTCTGTCTTATGATGGAGTTCATTAGCTGTTTATTTCCTCTCTTCTTCTTTTTAAAATAATTCCGACTTTGGACAAAATCCTCTCTTTACCACATTATTATTTATTTAATTTATTGCAGACAGTAATTGCTTGCCGTCTTTAAGCTTTGCCCCCTTTCACGCGAACCTTATTGTTTTTTTATTACATTTAATTGTTTCACTGTTAAACGGTGTTCTTTGAACATTAATTTATTATTAGATTTTAGTTAAAGCTTAGGATTTAGAGATTTTAATTTTAATATTTATAAATTATTTTAAATTTCGCCTTAAGTTGTAATCTCCTATGTATTAACGTGATATTAAGCTTTTAGCATTTTTTCTATAAATTATTTTGTAATGGAAAACAACCTATCAAATAACTGTGGGCGTTGGGTAAAAGGGATTGGTAGAACCGTAGTAGAAGACTACAAGGGGGAAAAAACTTATAATTACAGATATCAGATAAGTCCGAGATATAGAATGGGAAATGATTGTCATTTATGCAAAAGAAAATGAGAAAAATACAAGATAAAGCAACACGTGGTTGAAGAAAATGTATGGAGGTGAAAAGTTTGGCAGCCACTTAGAAAAGGTCTTATTATTCAAATATCGCTTTCAAAAAAATTAATATCAAATTTAAATTTATTTTAATACTTTGTGAAAATATTTTTTATGTCACGTAGAATGAAAATATATTATATAGGAAACGTTTTTAAAGACGTATTATCAATGACATATTAAAAATAATTTTGAGGGCGGCACATATATATTACTAGCAAGATTTGTTTATATACAATGTACACAAATAAAATTTTAAGATTGATATTATTAATAAAATAAATAATTAATATAAAGAAATTTAGATTTATATCCGCGTAATTCTTTGCTATTCCAATAATTTTCTTTCTGAACCTCGTTTCTCCTTCAGTAGCTTTCTGCAAATTCTTTTGCTTCTGCATAATTTGAATGCTACTATACTACTACTGTATTAAAGGATGTATATATGGAGTCGATGCAAATGTATCTGTTCAATGGCTTCCATTCTTCGTAAATTTGTTCTTTCGAACATTAGAAAGTTGGCATATTTGGAAAAAGCAAATCACATGATGTTTAACAGAAAGTATGGGTGGTATGCTGCAGAACTGATGCAGTTCATGCGAGTGCGAGCTTGCAAAACGGGTGATGCTCGATGTGCACATACTTTCTACGGTCAATCATGTGCTTCAAGAGTTACAATAATTAAAGATGTAAATGAATATAGCACTGGGTGAATTGTTTATATGACATCAGTTTATTATGCTAAATAAATAAGTACGAATAAATTTTTATTTTTATCTAATAAACGAACGAACGCGTCGTTTATGTTTATAAATAAGTTCGTTATTGACTCGTTTAATCAGTTCTCATTTTCTTTTTTCTTTTTATATTTTAAATATTGGTGAACGTAGAAACTAAATTGAAAATAATATGACCATTAAAGTTCAAATTGTAAAGTCTAAGAAGATTAAGGATTAATTGCATAATTTCACCATTCTTCTTTAGCTATAGAAGGACAAGAATAGAGTTTGATTGCCAGAGGAACTGCACTGGTTAAGGCACACCCTTGCCACTTCACCTATCTTACGTGTCGTAATGTATTTTTTTGACTAACGAATAAGTTTTCGATGAAAATCATAAATAATGATTTATTTAAAAAAAAATTGATTTTTTTATGTTTATTTTGATTAAATTGATTTGGAGTCGCCATCGACCTTTGAGTTATGTAGATCGAATACCTAAAACCGTCTTTAAAACAATTTTAAGAAAAACCGTTTTAAAGAAAAAAACTGGTATGTGCTAGTCAAAAAATTCATTTTAGGTTCGGGAATTGATTACGCGTGGGAAAGAGTTAGCACCCCACAACACCCAAAAATTGATACTTAATCGCTTGTATGTTATTATAGTGGTGAAAATTATAAATTCGAATAGAAAATTAAATTATGATTCATTTATTGAACATTGATTAATTTATTTCAAATAATTTAATAAAAAAACATTCCATATTTTGAGAGGAGACCTCGAGATTTTAACTCCAACTACTATAAATGTTATCTAATCGATTTCTTCTCTATAAAAGAATGCTCTCTCTTTATTCATAGGATTAAAAAAGAATAAACAGAAAATAAAATGCAATAATTAAAGGAATGACATTAAATAAAAAAGTAAAGAGCAAAAATTTAAATGTGCATAAAATTAAATAATAAAAATAAAATATCCATAAAATAAAATGTTAGTGTTAATTTTTAATATTTAACCGGACCGTAAATAATGCGAGTTGTACCTCGGAACGAGTCTTCACAATGTCGTACTCTGGTTCGAACATTCATATTTGATTAATAGGAACTAAAATGAAATAGAAAATAAAACAAACAGTAGCCAATCAGAATTATTAAGTTACGAAAATGCATAAATTTAAACAATAGCATCAGATTTATAAATAAAATGAAGAAACAAAACCAGTCGGTGGCAAAAATCAAATAGAATAAGAATCGATGTCCAATTTCAAAGAACTATCATAGCAAACAGGGGACTAAATTGAAGAGAAATGAAACAAGCATGCCAATTCTAAAATAAATAAAATGTAAAAAGTGACCGAAACAAAATAAAATAAAATTAATATGCCCAAAATTAAAAGATAATTAAAACGTGACTTTAGTGACTAACATGTAATTATGCGCTTAAACTAGGGGGAATAAAATGTGATTTACCCAGTTTCAAACCTAAGCATATTCTAAACCAAGTAATAAGGAGTAATATTACAAAGAAACCCTTTTATTCTAAATAAAACCAAAATAGCCCCTAAATTAGTGACCTATATGGAAAGCACACGAACCCTCAGGGATCTGGACGCTATTAGACCATAAACTTTAATAAAACCCTAAAACTAAGTAAAAATGTAACCTAAACTAATCACTCAGCCGCCTCCCTCACTTTACTATCTCCCTCTTTCCTTCATGCGGCCGAGAAGGCCAAGACCCAAGACCCAAGACGGTCGAACCTCGACGATGTCCAACCCTCCGACCGTCATTCGTGACCAGGGTGGCCTCTCCGACCACCCAACCGGTCCAAACTCCTCTTTCTTCTCTCCGGCGATGGTCTGCACTGACTATGGTAAACCGACTCAACTCTCTTCCTTTTTATTTCTATTTAAGAAGAACAAAAAGATTACTAAAAAATGAATACCTTTGGAATGCTTTTATTGTTGTATTAATTTCCGAAAATGGGGGCCGACCCTTCTTACAATCTGTTTGGGGTTTTATAACCCATCTTACATGTGCCAAAATAAAATA